AAGGACCTCGCATTCATGAAGGAGGGATTTCTGTTCAACATCTTTTTGTTCAATGCGAACGCGAGGCGTTGACTGTGTTCGACAAGAAAGACATCTAGGCAAAAGTATTAAATTTCAAAATTGAAGGTTTGAGCCCATTTTTCATATTTTGAGCTAGAGACCACAGATTTAGACGATTTTTAAAAGCATTTTAAGGGAGTTGATTGGGGTAAGTGTTCTTCACTTGATTTTGGTTAAATTCCATGATTGTTTCTTGAGTTTTTTATCATCTAAATTGGGAATTGGGGTGAAAAATTGGGGAAAAAATGGAAGAGTTCTTGAGATGGAATTTTGGGGTTTTGAAGGGGATTTTGTTGTTTGATTTGAGTAAATTTGGTATGGTTAGACTCATGAGTGAATGGGCTTTCTATTTTTGTGACTTTGTCATATTTTGAGACATGGGCCCAGGGACCGGGTTGAGCTAATTTCGGGATTTAAGTCCCAGTTAGTAGTTTTCTTGTAGAATTGGTTCCTTTGGCATATATTTATTGTGTTGTGTTACTCGGATTGAGTAGAATTTTGCTCGGATTGAGGTAAGTAACAGTTATAAATCTGGTCTTGAGGGTATGAACCCCCAGACATTGTGTCTTGTGACTATATTGGAGGTGACGCCCATGCAAGGTGACGGGCGTGTGGGCATGCACCGAGGGGATTGTTACTTTGTCCGTCCCATAAAACTATAAAGTTGAACAATATGTTGTTAGCTATATGCTCTTTATGTGTAATGAACGCTTGACTGCAAATCATGGTTTAAATGTTGGCACTGTTGGGTCCCTGTAATTATCCGGCCGGTTGTTTTTAGAGTTAGAGCCTCGATCCCCTATTAACTACTTCCCATGTATCTTTTTATGCTATTGTGACTTGTCAGGAAGGTTCGTTTTGAGTTTCGGACTGTTTTGGGACACTTAATCCGTAAATGAGAGCTTAAGTCTTAGAATTTGGACCTTAGTCAGAACAGTGTGAAGATGACTCCGGAATGGAATTCCGCCGATTCTGTTAGCTCCGTTGAGTGATTTAGGATTAGGGGCGTGTCTGTATTGTGTTTTGGAGGTCCGCAACTCATTTAAGCTTGAAATGGCGAAAGTAGAATTTTTGGAGTTTCGAGCCGGTAGTGGAATTTTTGATATCGAGGTCGGAATCCGATTTTGAAAGTTGGAGTAGGTCCGTAAAATTGAATATGACTTGTGTTCCAAATTTGGGGTCAATCGGACGTGGTTTAGTATGTTTCAACATTGGTTGTAGAATTTTGAAGTTTCAAGTTCTTAAAATTTGTATTGAGGGTGATTCATGATTTTAGCGTTGTTTGATATTATTTGAGGGCTCGACTAAGTTCGTATGGTGATTTAGAATTGGTTGGTATGTTTGATTGAGGTCCCTAGGGCCCCGGGCACGTTTCGGATGCTTAACGGGTAATTTTTGGACTTAGAAGCATAGCAGATTTTTGCTGGTTTTTGTTGCAGAGATTTGTTCTTCACGTTCACGAAGAGAAGCCCATATTCGTGAAGAAAGGTTTGGGCAGAAGAGGAAAAATGCTCTTCACGTTCGCAAAGGTTTGGACTTCAGTGTATCACAAACGTATGAATGACATCGCGTTCGCATAGAGAAGATGGAGCAGATGGGACCTTATGAATTTACTCTTCGCGTTCGCAAATAGGGGGTCGTGTTCGTGAAGGTCCTGGCAGCTGAAGCTATGCGTTTGTGAGAAGGAACTCGCATTCACGAAAGAGGAAAAATGAGCAGTGAATTATTGTTCTACGCGAACGCGAGGTGGTGGTCGCGTTCGCGATGAAGGACGTAACTGGGCAGATTTTTAAAGTTCAAAACAAGGGTTTGAGTTGATAAATCCAAAATTTGATTGAGAGCTCGGTAGAAGGCGAAATTCAGAGAAATTTTCGGAGAAAGTTTGTGGGTAATGATTCCAAACTCCTTTTTTATTATATCCCATTAATCTAAGCTTGATTTTATCATTTAATTTCACATTTGGGGTGAAAATTTGAGAAAAGTTCTTAGGCCAAATTTTTGGGTTTTGATCAAGATTTTGGTATCGGATTTGAGTGAATTTTGTATGGTTAGACTCGTGAGTGAATGAGTGTTCATAATTTGTAACTTTTACCCGATTCTGGGATGTGGGCCCGGGGAGGATTTTTAGGTGTTTTTCAATTTTCTTGCCCTAGTTTTGATTTTATTAGCTAAATTAGTTGCTTGTAGCTATATTTATGTTATGTAATTGATTTGATTAGATTTGGACCACTCGGAGTTGGATACTCGTGGCAAAAGCATGATTTCGGATTAATTTGAGCTTGGTTCGAGGTAAGTGGCTTGCCTAACCTTGTGTAGGGGAACTCCCCTTAGGATTTGGTGTTGTTTGATATATGAATGCCGTGTACGTGAGGTAATGAGTGAGTGCACTGACTATTTTTTAAAAAATCCCATTTTCATTAAGCAAATATTTGTTTTTCCCTTCAATTGAGCAATATTATTTTATGTAACGATCTGGTTTAGCGTAGGAAAGCATGCACGTGCCTTAACTGTCATAACTACCTTAACTTCCTACCTGAACTCTGTGCAACATGTTTAGTGCAAATTTTCATGTCTTCCTCGATATGAACTCAATCTAAACTATAGAATTCCATGTTGGAACTATTGTTTATGTTGATTGAGTTGTATATTTACTTTGGACTACGGAACGGTATTCCGGGATATCCCTCTGCACGTTTATGTTTGGGACTACGGAACGGTATTTTGGGTGATCCCCCTGTACTGGATATTTACTTTGGGACTATATAACGGTATTCCGGGAGAACCCCCTGCACATTTATGTTTGGGACTACGGGATGGTATCCTGGGAGATCCTATGTACATTTACGTTTGGGACTACGGGACAGTATACCGGGAGATCCCCTATTGCTATCTCTATGTACTTAGTTATTGTTTTTCTGTTATTTCATTCTCATTTAATGTTAGTATTTATCTTTATTGTGATATTTCATACTGTATTATCTTATTATACATATATACCAGTAGGGCCCTGACCTGATCTCATCACTACTCGACCGAGGTTAGGCTTGGCACTTACTAGGTACCGTTGTGGTGTACTCATGCCCATTCCTGCACATGTTTTTCATGTGTAGATCCATGTACCTCTTCCCAGCCATATTTTCATTGAAGCAAGGCTATTTTAGATATTTCGAGGTATATCTACCGCGTCCGCAGACCTAGGAGTCCCTCTCTACTCTTCCTTAAGTTAAAGACTTTCTTATATTTTCTTCGTTGATAGTTTTCTGGAGTTTAGAAGAACAATTTACTTCTGTAGCTTGTGACTCATGATATTCCAGTTTTTTGGAGCATTTATGTTCAGTTCGAGAGTATTTGTTGTATATGTCGAGCGGCATCTAAACTTCTTAACTAAATTTACCTGTTAAATTGTTAGTTTTCATATTTTCATTTCTTTTTTGCAAAATGTTAGGCTTATCTAGTCGTAGAGACTAGGTGCCACCACGATGATTCATGGAGGGAGAACTTTGGTCGTGACAGTCTCATAGGGTCCGTGTTACATGTTGAATTGCCTGTTAAATTCTATTTGTACACAATCATAGTTTTTACTCGTATATAATATCTCAGTCTCTGTTATTCTGTTCGATGCATCATAGTATTGCTGTTTGGGCTGATCTTCCAAATATCATAGAGCCTGAGAGACTGGAGAGATTAACAACTGAGTGAGGCTGAGGGCCTGATTTTGAGGATATTTATGGGATCGGGCTGCACGCCGTAGCATATTTTATTGATTTATGCTTGAGTGAGGCCGAGAGACTGATTGATTTATGCCATGATTGGCTTGTTATAGCGCTTACCGATAGCATTACATTTCATTGACGGGAACACACTTGGTTTCCTTAATCAAATTATTCACATTCTCATAACAAAATTAGTTATCTTCTTAATTCACAACTATACCATTATCTTGTTACGTTAAAGGAATAGAATTACGACCTAAGTCAAGTATCACAATACTCAAGTAATCTTTTTACACCTATTCCTTGTGGGATTCGACCCCAACCTTGTTAGTTTATTATAGTTGACGCTGACCACTTTACACTATTTAGTTAAAGTGTAAGTTGAGCGTATCAAATTTTGGCACCGTTGCCAGGGAATACGGTATTGAAATTACTAATTAGTATGTGCTTTACTTTATGTCTTCTTCTATTCCATCACACTTTGCTTGTTTTGTTTGGTGTTGATAGGAAAATATGGCCGAATATGAGGAAGAAGAAAATCCTTTTGTAGACATAGATGAATACATTAAGGATACAAATGCTATTGTACCTCCGAGAGTTGATGCTGCCACTTTCAAGGTGGAACACGATTTAATCCTAATACTCAAAGCGGGGTGAGGGGGGAAGGGGGGTTCATAAATTCTACTGATGATGATCTGACACAACATCTTAGAAACTTCATGGGTGTGTGTGCGATGCACAAGCATAACAATGTTTCACATGATGCCTTAAGATTAAGGGTGGTCAAGTACTCACTAATTGGAGAGGAAAGGAAATGGATTCAAAATCTACCACAAAACTCAATTCATTCTTGGCCTAAACTTGGCCGTGTATTCTTAGCTAAATGGTTCCCGCAAAGCAAGAAATCTGAGCTCCAAGATAAAATTTTCTTTTTCAAGCAACTACCGAGAGAACATCTACATGAGGCATGGGATCAATTCAAGTTATATTTGGTGAGGTCACCTAATCATGATTTTCCGGATTCTATTTTTTTGGAGAAATTCTATTTGGATGCTATGAACCAATCTATAGCCAAGAATGCAGCTGATGGATCTTTTATGGATAAGTCATTTGCAAGGATAACACAAATCCTTGACAAATCAAGGTTCCTCAAATGATTCCAAGTTGGAAAACTTGCTTGAACGGGTATTCCAAAATCAAGATAGGTCCAACACTTCAATGAGGAATATGACCGAGCTTGTCGGCTCTCATACCGCATCCATTCAAAAGTTGGAGATGAAAATGAGAAATCTCTCACGAGAACAAAATCCAAAGCAAAAGGGGACACTCCCAAATGACGTAATTGTGAACCCAAAAGGTAGTGGGAGTGGTCCAACTTCTCATTGCATGGCAATTACTACTCAGAGTGAGAAAGTACTTCAAGGAGAGAGTGAAAAAGTGCTTTAAGTGGAAGATTCGGAAAAAGAAGTTGAGGCACATGTTGAAGCGCCAATTGTTGTTGAAGCTAAAAAGGTCCCGGAAGAGTTGAAAGTTCAAGAAGTGAACCGGGAAGAGGTTAAGGAAAATGTAAAAGGTATGCCAAAAACTCTACCACCAATTCCTAGACCTCCTCCTCCTTTCCTTCAAAGACTTGCTAGGAGGGTTGATGATAGCAAACTCGAGAAGTTCTATGACATTCTCAAGAAATTATTGATAAATATTCCATTTGTGAAATCTTTTCAAGAGATGTCGGGTTTCTCTAAGTATTTGAAAGACTTGATCACCAATAATGAAGTGGTGAATGTGATTTGTCGGGTCAGTTCCATCATTGCAACAACCACCGTTCAAAAGAAAAAAGACACAGGAGCTTTCACCATTCCATGCACTATTGGGGCGCGTAATTTTGCAAGAGTTCTTTGTGATAATAGGGATATCATCAACTTAATGCCTCTTGATATTTACAAGCAAGTGGGGTTAGGTATGCCGAGGACTACAAGTATGAGGTTGCAAATGGCCGATCGTTCAACAAAAAGACCGGTGGGAATTGTTGATGATGTGCTTGTGAAAGTGGGAAAGTTCCATCTACCCACCAACTTTGTGATCCTTGATTGTGCGGTTGACAAAGAGACCCCTATAATCTTGGGGAGACCTTTCCTTGCTACCGAAAGAGTACTTATGGATTAAGAACGAAATAAGATCAAGTTCCGGGTCAATGATGTAGTGGTCATATTCCAACGAGTAAGGGTATGAAGTTTCCAAATGCATATGAAAGCTTCTCAGTCATTGATGTTGTCGATGAGGCAGAAGACGCAATTGAGATGAAGATGGAAGAACAATACCTTGGTGAGGCATTAGCGGCTATTTTGGTAAACTTTGATGGTGAAGACATGAAGGGGTACATGGAATCAGTAAATGCATTAGAAGGGCTTGGGTCCTACACTTATGCTCCAAAAAAGCACTCTCTTGACTTAGAGAATAGAGTCACTCCTCCTGCCATGCCTTCAGTTATTGAGCCGCCGCAACTTGGCCTCAAACCACTTCCATCGCACTTGAGGTAATCATTTTTTCTTTGTTGAATGATGTGCAGATAGAAAAACTATTGAATGTCTTGAAGGAGCATAATAAAGCTATTGGGAAAACAATAGCAGACATCCGAGAGATTCCCGCCGGAATTTGTGAACAAAAGATTCAATTGGAGCAAGAGAGTAAAGCAAGTGTGGAGCATCAACGAAGGTTAAAACCTTCCATGCAAGAGGTGGTAAAGAAAGAAATCATCAAGTGGTTAGATGTCGGGGTAGTCTACCCTATTGGCGATAGTTCATGGGTGAGTCTGGTGCAATGTGTTCCGAAGAAATGAGGCATGACCGTGATTGAAAACGATAGAAATGATCTCATCCCAACAAGAATAGTGACCAGATGGAGGGTTTGCATGGACTATCGTAAGCTAAATAGTGCTACATGCAAGGAATATTTCCCTATGCATTTTATTGATCAAATGCTTGATCGGCTAGCAGGAAGGTCAGTCTATTACTTCTTGGATGGATATATCAGCTATAACCAAATCAATATCGCATTGGAAAATCAAGAAAAGAAAATATTCACATGCCCATATGGGACATTTGCCTTTAGCCATGTGCCATTTGTGCTATGCAACGCTCCGACTACTTTCCAAAGGTGCATGATGTCAATCTTCTCAGACATGTTGGAAGATTTCTTAGAGGTTTTTAAGGATGGATTCTCTGTAACGGGTTATTCCTTTGAGCATTGTCTTGACAACCTTAGACATGTGCTAAAGAGATGTAAGAAATAAACCTTGTGCTAAACTAGGAGAAATGCCATTTCATGGTGGATGAGGGTATTGTTTTGGGGTACAAAATTTCCAAACAAGGCATACAGGGTGACATAGAAAAGATTGAGATCATTTCCACGCTTCCTCCGCCTACTTCAGTAAAAGGTGTCCGAAGTTTTTTGGGGCACGCCGACTTCTATAGCTGTTTTATTAAGGAATTCTCCAAAATTCCAAATCCCATGTGCAAACTCCTTGAAAAAGATGCAAAATTCATATTTGATTAGAACTGCCTCAAGGCTTTTGAGGAATTGAAAGAAAATCTCACCACGGCACCTATTATTGCCACACCTGATTGGTCTCTTCCATTAGAAATCATGTGTAACGCTAGTGGTATAGCTATTGGGGCGGTGCTTGGCCAACATCATAAAAAGATCCTTCACCTTTTCTACTATGAAAGCAAGACACTCAATGGCGCTCAAAGTAATTACACTGTGACTGAGCAAGAACTTCTCGCCATTATCTATGCTTTTGAAACGTTTCAGGCTTATTTGTTGGGGTCCAAAGTGATAGTGTACACCGATCATGCTACTCTTCTCTTTCTTATGGCAAAAGAAGGATGCCAAACCAAGATTGATTTGATGGGTCCATTTGTTGCAAGAGTTTGACTTTGAAGTCAAGGATCGAAAAGGGACAGAAAATCAAGTTGCGGATCACCTATCTAGTCTTGAAGAGGCAGGGAGACCAAAAGAGGACCTTGAAATCAATGATGCCTTTCCATATGAGCACATATTGGCATTATCTAACACATTAGCTCCTTGGTATTCCGACATCGCTAACTTCTTGGTTAGTGACCTTGTTCTTGATGGATTGGAAGCTTATCAAAAGAAAAAGTTCTTGCGCGAGTGTATGCATTACTATTGGGAGGAACCCTTTTTGTTCCATATTTGTGCCGACAACATCATTAGGCGGTGTGTTCCAGATGATGATGTAATGCCAATTCTCAAGCCATGCCATGATTCTCTGGTTGGGGGTCATCATGGAGGAAATCGACGGTGCAAAAGTGCTTGAACGTGGATACTATTAGACAAAAATCTACCAAGACACAAATCAAATGGTCAAGGCATGCAATCAATGTCAAAGACAAGGTTCAATATCTAAAAGACATGAGATGCCTATAAATTTTGTACTAGAGGTCGAGATCTTTGATGTGTGGGGGATAGACTTTATGAGCCCTTTCGTGAACTCTTGTGGCATGACCTACATCTTGGTGGTTGTGGACTACGTCTCTATATAGGCCGAGGCAATAACCTTACCTAACAATGAAGCAAGGAGTGTGACCGAATTTTTAAAGAAGAACATATTCACGTGGTTTGGTACCCCAAGGGTCATCCTAAGTGATGGTGGTTCTCATTTCTGCAACAGGGCTTTCGTCGGACTGCTTGAAAAGTATGGTATAAAGTACAAGGTGGCCACACCCTATGATCCACAGTAGAATGGTTAGGTTGAAGTTTCTAACAGGGAAATCAATAACATTCTAGCTAAAACTGTCAATGCAAATAGGACTGACTGGTCAAGGAAGCTAGATGATGCGTTGTGGGAATATCGTACAACATTTTAGACTCCCATTGGCACTTCACCATACCGATTGGTATTTGGCAAAGCATGTCACTTTCTAGTAGAGCTTGACCACAAATCCATGTAGACATTAAAGAAGTTTAATCTTGACTGGGTTAAGGCTGCTAATGTGAGAATGACACAACTCAATGAGATGGAGGAATTTCGCCTCCATCCCTATGAGAGTCCAGCCATGTACAAGGAAAGAATGGAGTTTGTCCATGATAAGAAGATCTTGAAGCGTGCGTTCAATTCCGGTGAGTTGGTCTTACTTTTCAATTTAAGACTCAAGTTATTTTCGAGGAAAACTCATGTCTAAATGGTCTGGCATGTTCAAAGTTGTGAGTGTATCCCCCTATGGTGCTATTGAACTAGAGTCGGAGGATGGGAATCGAACATTCAAAGTGAATGGTCAACGAGTCAAGCATTACCTCGGTACCACAGGAGAAAGTCATCTGATAGAACAATATTCTCTAAAGGATAGTCCAACAATAGTTCCCAATAATGAATAACCTAAAACGGGTCAACTGCATCGTGCCACGACGTTAAATCAAACGCTTCTTGGGAGGCAACCCATGTGTGATAACACTCATTTGTAGTTTTTTATGTAGTTTAGATTGAGCAAGTTGACATGTGTGCTAGAGTGCAGGTAGTCCCAAAATATCATGAACAAGGTCCTAGTGCTGAGGAAACTGAAGGAAAGAAAGGACCAGAATTGGCGACAACTACGCAGTCGCATATGCGGTCACATAATGGCTATGCAAACCGCATAGTCATTGCAGACCGAGGCAGAGAAATTGGTTACTTTGGTGGTCAAATATGCGGTAAGTTTTTCATTTATGCACGGGCGTAAAAACTCTTCCATCGCACATTGCATCTCAAAGTTAGGTGAGGTTGCTCAGTCATTAGTCCATCGTGCAACACAAATTCGATCGCATAATGTGTTCTGCGATGGACTTAGCACAACAAAGTAGCCAAGTAAAAAACCCTAACATTCCTCATATGTCGTCCTCACACTTATCACACACTGACTCTTAAACAATATTCAAAAGAACAAAAATAGAATTTTACCAGCAAGGGAAGAAATCAGAAAAGATCAAAAAGATATAGTACTCACCAAGCATATGGGGTGCACAATCTTGTGAAACTCTTGTATGTTCTTTCTTCTCCCTTTAGTACTTGTGATTTAAGTGTATTCCTGAATTCTGAGCTCACATTGGTAACTCCCATGATCCCTTGAATGCCCCTTGAGTACGGTAGCATATCGGTAAGGTTTTGGTTTAGTGACTGTGTGCGTGTTGTTGAGGAAACAAAAAGGGGGAAGTATGAGTACCCCTTTCCCTACTTAATCATTTGATTGGTCTGTGACCAAAGAGGGGGAAGTTTGAGTACCCCTCTCTTATTGAAATGGAATAAATGGCAATTATAAATCTAAATGGGTAGCAATAGGAAAGCATGTGAAATGGTGGGGCACTGTTTTGTTGAAGTAGACGATCTTTGCGGGCCACATAAATGGTTTGTGGTCCGCAAAGTTGTCTCATAAGAACCCATGGTGACCCAATGCAAAAAGGGTTATGTGATTGCTTTTGCGATTGGAAACCCCTTAGGCCGTCCGCATACTTGTCGCATAGTAAGGCCGTCAATTAGCCTATCTAGCTATAAGAAATGCGACCACTTTGCGGTCGTATAACAACATATGCGGTTGCTTTTGCGATCACATAACTGTTGTTGACTTTTATGTTGTGCACATCGACGATGGGTTTACGGTCCGCATAGTTGATATGCGATTGCATAACCCATCACATAGTCTACATATTTCTTCCATGTGTGTCTAATGTATTTCCTATGCTATTTAACCAACTCACACAATGTTTCATCAACATGAATGGAACCAAAGAAGTCTAATCCAACGCGATCACCGCTCGCTCATAGATAGAAAAGGGGTTCTACTCCTAGCCAACAAGCGCGACAAGCAAAACATCAACGGGCATAGACGCTTTGCATTACTTCTGAGCACTCCTCCCAGACTGAAGAGGAGTAGGCACAAAGTGACCTCGGACGATCAGTTGACCTACAAACTAAGGCATGAAGGAAGATAGGGAACGATCTTAATCTCCTCTTTGAAGTCATGGGCTCACTGAATCTATATAAAGAAGGGCTATCAAAGTGAAAGATTCTCGAGGAGAAACAATTAAGTTTAAATGGGCTGAAGGCGCACTACCCTCATATAATTGAGAACATCAAGCCAAGAAAATGGGAATTCTTCATTGAGGTCCCTGAC